CCCGGCAAGTGAGTGAGAACTTGTCTCAAAATAAATAAATAAGGGATGAGGATATAGCTCAGTGGTAGGCACTTGCCTAGCATGTATGAAGCACTAAATTCAATTCCTAGTATCATCATTTCCTTTCTTGCCTGAATACAAATGTGATTCATTTCAGGCTAGTGCACAGCACAGTGGGCAGAAATGACATTTCAGGCTACTGTGCAGCACGGTGGGTAGAAGCAGGGCCCCTGATTAGAGGACCTAAGTGCAAGGCCTGGCTACCTCTCATTAACTGGTCTGCCTTGGGCAACCTATTGATCCCTGAGCTTCCGTTTCTTTCTGTGAAAAATAAAGATAATAAGCTCCTCCCTCATGAGGTTGCTATGAGGAACAGGAGCTATAATTCCTATAAAGTACCTGCATGGGGCCAGCGCTCAGTAAGGGCCTCATGTTAGCGACTGATAACATGATATATAAACAAAGAGTGTTCAGGCATCTTCAACCCAGGCTGCCCAGAACCTTTAGAGGAGAACTGTGGGGTGAGTGTGGACATCTGCTCTTGCGGCTCCTGTCTGGGCCCTGATCAACACGATCTACCTCTCCCAAGATGCCCAGCAAACACAAGGAATTGGTCCTGGTACCTCTGAGTTTTCCAGGGCCTGGGCCATGGAGGAAATGACCACAAGACAATAGGTTAGGTTACTGAGGGCCCAAGGCTAGGATGTTTCCTGGGGTGAGAAGGTGGATTTCTGGAGTGTGAGGTGGGTGTGGTCAGTAGGACTGTCAATCATGACATACAAGACAGGGCCTGAATGGAGGAAGGAAAATCCAGGTGAACTCCAAATGATGTTTTCAGAAAGGACTGTTGAGAAACTTTCACAGAGAAGCCTTATTAATGCAGAAAGCAGGGAAGAGTGCCCTTCAAGGGAGAACCAGGGCCTTTCACCGTAATAATTAGTACTGTCAATGATATCCATGTATTGAGTGCTTTCTTTGTGGCAGCACTATCACTAAAGCCTGTGTGCACAAGGTCACTTAATTCTTTGAACAATAGGGTAAAGTGATTATTTCCTTTTGTGGAAAAGGAAAGGAAGGGCTCAGAGATGTTCATTCTTTTGCCCAAGGCAACTCAGGAAGCCAGAACTCACACACCTGCTCTCAAACACAACAGCAAAAGTTCCTGTGGACTCTGGAGCCAGGTAACTAGCCCAGAAAATGGGGAGACTTAGGGATGTCCGACCACCCCACCTCATTTCCCACACCGGCACTCTTGGTGACTGAAGACCTGCTGCTGTATCAGCTGGGATGCAGGTGGGGGGCAGCGTGCTCAGGTGTGTGATGCTGAAGGGCATCGCAGAGCCATCTCCAGGGCTGGTGCTCCTGGGCACTGCCGCTTCCAGGGCAGCTCTTCCAGCTGTGGCTTCTCCACCCACTCCAGACACCCCTGTTAGTTAAGCTGAGGCACTGTGGTCCAGAGGGAGGCCCATGGCCTGCCTAGGACTACTATAATGGCAGGGGATGTGCCTTGGTTCCCTTTGTCGGGGACCAGGCACCAAGGGTTGTGCTCAGTGGCTGATCTCTCTTCCCTTTTGGTGCCCACAGTGCCTGGGGGTCAGCTTTCTTGCACTCCTATCCCCAACTTAGGACATCTCTAAACTTGTGGCTGTATTTTGGGGCTTACTTTGTCAGAACCAGCTAAGAACAAACTGCTTGACTTTCTTGGGGGCTTGAAGAAGTTAGGGTGTCATTAAGGTCAGAGACAGAGCAGAGAGAGCAGCTCCGAGCTCAGGCAGAGTGGGCACTGACTAGGTTTGAACTTGCCTCAGCATTTCCTCCTGTGCACAAGTGACCTCATGTCTCTAAGCCTGAGGCCTCATCAGGGAAAGTGGCTGAGGACCCTTCCTCATAGGGTTAATGCACAGGTATGGGGCCCATCCATGAGGTATGGATGCTTAGCAAGGGCCCTGGACCTTGTGCAGGTCCAGTAAATGTTAGAGCTTGCTATGGAGGACATAGATGGAGTTACCCCAGCAGAACAGCCTTGTTTGACCACTGTGTTGAAGGCAGGACTTCCATTTATTCTTGCTCGTGGCACCATTGTTTCTTCGGTTCAGTTTGTAATTATAGTACACGTGTTGACTTGTCCCGGAGGGGAGGCACCGTGTCTGTTTTCCACTGCCCGATCACTGGCACCAGTAACAGGAGTACTGTCAGTGCTAAGTGATAGCCCCTTCCCCAGCTGCTCCAGGCAGAGCAGCTCTTTTTTCAGAGGACATGGATTTCAGAGGTCTCTGTGTTCCCTAGGCCGCTCTAGAGATGACTGCAGCAGGGAAGGGCTAACTGCTATGTCTGTGCCAGCCACGGCAGCTGGTGAGAAGAGCTGGCTGGAGCCAAGGCTGGTTCTTACACTCACCTGGAAGGCCATGTCCAAGATGGGTGATAGGGTCATTCTGGGACTACTTCCGCCATCCAGAGTCTGCAGCTGTCTAGCCTGTGTCCTTACAGTGACACTGCATCCTCACCAGCACCCTGCATAGTCCTCTTTCACTTGGGGCTCGGCCTGGCTTTTGGGAAAGGTTTCCTCTCTGCTTCCTACTTTCCACGACTCTGCCTCCTGGGTCTCTCCTACCTCCAGCCCTCAACTGAAACCAGGGCTCCTGGGTCTTGGCAGACATGTGGGGCTGGGGAGGCACTGTGAGCCCATATGTGATTGTGTTTATGTTTCCAGAGAGTGAGGGTCAGAGCTCTGGACTGGAGCTGTTGGGGGAGGGGAGGGGAGGCGGTAGCCCACTCTCTCGGCCTTCCCTCCCCCACCTTTCTCCTTCCAGCCCATTTCTGGCCCTGTCAATCAAATAACTCTGAAGTCCAAGTCCCAAAGTCTCAGGCTGAACCATCCTCCAGGGAGGAGCTCTCTTCATTGCTCATCTGAAGGTGAGAAGAGCAATGGAAGGACACTTGGCTTTGGAATCTCAAAGTGCGTGGGCTCAGTGTGACCTTGGCCCAGTTAGCCTCATGGAGCCTAGGTTGGAGGTGTAAAACGGCTAACACTCCTGACCTCAGGTCAGTGTTGACATGGCCTGAGAATGTGTGCATAGACCTCTTCAGCTCTTAGCGCATGAATGAGCCTGCAGTTGTGCACCATCACAGCCCCAGCCTGGGTCCAGCTCCAGGGCAGTGCCAGTCCCCATCACAAGGTGATTCTGAAGCAGAACATCAATCCCTCCTTCCTCCTCTGCTGCAGCTGCAAACATTTTGTTTTGCCATTAGAAGTGACTTACTTAAGGGAAGCAGAATTTTACAGGCAGTTTACAGGCTGGTCTTGTTCAGTAGTTTCCAAAAGCCAGGGAAGGGTGGAGGCGACCAGCAGCCCCATAAGTGGGGATGGAAGGGAAGTGAAAAGTGAGTCGTGTGTGATGGACACTTTCTCCAGCCCAGCCAGCCCAGCTGGGTGCCCCAGGGTGAGATCTAGGCACGGCTGGGGCATTAGGGTGAAAGGCATTGGAAAGCTGGGCTGGGCAGGCTCCGATGGTAATAGGCCCAAAGGAGAAAAGGCAACGCTAGCCCTGAAAAGGCTCTCAAAGGCTCTCATTCCGACGTTCTGGGCAGTCAAGGGCCCTGTAATACTCTGGGGCCTTGAGAGTCATCGTAGACACAGCTTTTGAAAGCTCACAGAATTCGGAGCCCAAGTGTGTGTGTGTGTGTGTGTGTGGGGGGGTGTCCCTGCTAGGGCTGCCAGTGCTGCAGCCCAGGGGCTGTGGGCAGGAGTTGGGTGCAGAGAGACAGAGTGGAGAGAGAGCTCCGAAAGCTAGGGCTGAGCAGGTCAGGAATGGTGGTGGGGAAGTGGGGGTAGAGGAACCCTATGAAGAGCTGCCTGGGTTCTTCCCAACTCCCCCAGGGCTCGGTGACACAGTTCCACTTGTCAGCCTCCCTTTTTAGCCGAATGAAGTAAGCAGGGCCCAGCAGTGCTTTAGCACGCTCGGACTATGGTTTTAATAGACGTACATGGACAAGTCGATATAGACAGATTTATAATTCTATACAGTCAGTCCGACATACACAGGGACGCTGTAAACAGGGGCACGGGCCGGAGAGCGGGTGTGCAAAGTGGGCGCGGGGCCCTGGGGCCGCGCCCCGCGCTCTGCCGGCTCGACTCTTGCACGGAGGACAGGGAGGGGGCTGTTCACCGGGACAGGGGGCCACCTACTGGACCGGGAGTGGAGCCCAGGGCCTCGGTCTTTGGCTAAGCTCGGGGCTGGGCTGCTCAGAGATGAGCGCTCCCGGTCCTCCCGCCTAGTCCGCTCGGCCAGCTGCAGCTCGGCGGCACTAATACGCGAACGGGCAGGCGGCGAGGGCTCTTCGGGATGCGCCCCAGCCTGTGCGAGTGGACAGCGAGTGCCTGACCCGGGGCGGCGGGCGAAGTCATCCCCAGCCCAAAACCCGAGCCAAGCCGAATCCGATTCGAGCTAAGGTGCGCTCAGCTGGGCTTGGTTCGTGTGGGGCCGAGGGGGAATCCCAGGCCCATCCGGGCTCCGCATATTGAATTCGAAGGCTGCCGCTCAGGGTGGGCCGCGGGATGCGAGGGCGTCCTCTCCCGGCTGCCCCGCTGGACGCTCGCTTTCGTGGACGCGCTGGCTCCGCAGAGTGGGCCGCCGGGCCTGTGGGAACGAACACACACCACCCGCGCCATCCCGAGGGAAATTGCAACTCATCCATTTTTTTTTTTTTTTTTTTTGGAAAATGTTTCCAAGAACAGTCT